TGGATTTCAAACCTGTACTCCCTTAACAATGAAATTACCTTTTTGGAGAAAGTCCTATTAAAACTTTAGTTAAGTTGCTGTTGATCAAAAATACAGAAAAAATCCTGATGATATTTATTTTAATGACTCATTAAATATTTGGCTTTCTGACAAGCAGGTTTATTTCAAAGTCACTTAACTGCTTATTCATTTCATACAAATTAGTCTTTTCTGATTTTTTAGAAGAAAATAGTTTATCAAAATGAACAGAAGTATACCTGAAGTAGTATACCGAGTTTTAAATCATGCATGCATGCAAAAAACCCAGAGGATGCTTCCTGACAAAATATTTCACATTACAAGCATCACATTTATCCTTGTTTCCTCACTAGATCACTACATGGCTTTCCTTTACCATCAGGTTATTTGGGGAAGTTACACTGCAATCAATGTATTCAGCTGTTACCATTAAGCGTAATGCAGGAACCCTCAACAGGCAAAGCCTGCTTGTGCACGCCAGATGAAATAAGGCCTGACAATAGAAAAATGCCCAATTTCGCCTGAATATATGGAGGTGCAGCTCCACTGAAGCAGAGTTCCTTCATTTGCCAGAGCTGAATTTACCCCAAAGTAATGACAGCAACCTGAAGACTGATTTAATTTAGGCTACCTAAAACAAGACAAGTTCATCTTCCCAGAATTGCCACAGCTTTCCACCTTTTCTTAAGATCAGTTAGCACAGGTACAACAGAGACAGAGCTAATATGTTACAGAGGAGTGGAGCAAGAGCAGCAAAGGTGACTGAGAATTTAGCAAGAGGACCTGCCTACAATGAGGGCAGGCATAGGTTTTACTGCCCAGGTATTTAGTCTGGCTAGCTAACCCACTTCCTCAGTCCCAATGAGCAAGTAATCTTCACATGCCTACAGTATTCTGCCTATTACTCCCCTTTCCCAAACTGATGTAGCTACCACCACCTACATAAATCTATTTAAAACTGGCTTGATAAGTCTACAGCGACACTCTTAAACAGGATTCTCCTTCCCCAGTTTTCCATGCTTTGAAACGAGTCTTGAAACCCAGCCTCTTTCCTGATTCTGTAGCGATACTTCCTTGATAATTTACACACTACCCCTATGACTTATGTTCCAACAACATGTCTTAGCGTAGATGCTACATTTCTCCTTCTCATGACTATAGTGCAGTTCCAGTTTCACCATAGGCATTCTGTACCACCTTGCAAATATGATGGAGTGTCTGAGCTGCTTGAAAGCACATGTAAAGAAAAATTTAATAGGTCATGAACATTTTTAAACAACATTTCACCCTGCTGCTAACAGTCATGTTTATTAGATATTGTTTATTGCTCAAGTAGCTAAATGGCACGTTGTCACACATAAAAACTGTTCTTTATTTTTTCTGTCTTATATCCTATGCAGTTTCTGGTCAAATACACCAGCTGAACTCCCCCACACCCCGAGCGCGCAGCATACAGTCAGTCAGAAGACGCAGAGGCATCTGCGAGAACAACATTTTCTATGGTTGAATTCTTTTTTTTTTTTTTTTTTTTTTTGTTATAAATGTTCCACTGCTGTCACCAGACATAGCAAGTATCTAATTCTGTTGCCTTATTTACAGTGGTGAGCTGCCCACACTTTTTATGAGCAGTGACTAGTCTGGTTAACAAGGTTTAACTTAACCTTATTCAAATAAAATGGTGTGATTACTCATATGAACACAGATCCCGGGATCTTCTTGAACTCTTTGTCAAGTTACTTCTCTGCCAAATTCCCATTGAAGTAAAAATGGAGAGAGAAAGAAAAAAAAAAATACATATTGGCCAGTGACCACTTTGGGAATCATACATTTGCCTAGAGGAGCAGAATTCAGCCGCTCTTGACAGACGGCTGCCGCTGCAGTTATATGACTAAAATGTGGCTATGGGATTCTCTTGGTTTAGAAATCCCAAGTCAATCTCACCAACCTAAACTGTCAACATTATCAACCTTGAAATTAAATCAGTCTGTACCTATCCTTTACCTCTTGTATCTTTGAATTCAATTAGTATACCGCGGGTCACATTTGATTTCCACAATAAACATCCAAGTATTCAGAGGTACCAGAGTTACTTTAATCTCTAATGACTTTATATTGCAGGAAGTACTTCAGCCAGAATATACAAGTGCCTTACTGTAAATAGAGATTTACAATCACCATCACTGACCTAAAAAAGCCTACTAATAAAAATATCCTTTTTTTGTGTCATTGTACAACTGAAACAAAAGAAACAACTACCACTATGTGACAGAGAACTGAGTCACCAGAAAGTTTATTTTTTCCTAAGTGTAGAGCCCAAGTACTGCTGAAATGAAATATTCACAGATCTTCCCTGTAAAACTGGAGCTCATTATTTTCAGACAATATTCTTGATCAAATAAATGGCTCATTGATTAACATTAAAAGACTCTAAAGTGCAAGGAAGAGTGAAAATGGAGAGGTCTTGAGGCACTGGTTGTAAAGCTACATGTTATGGTTGAGCCAGTCTAACTGGCATCAACTGTTGCTGATGTCAACAGTTGGAGGCCTCCTGTCCTCCTCTGCCACCTGGCACCACCTCTGGTGCTTGTTGGATCCTGCACGGAGCTAATTCAGCTTGCTAACCCAGCAGAATGCTAATCCAGAGTGGAAAAACCAAACAAGCAAGCAAACAAAAAAAAATTTTCTGCTGATTAGTAGGTTTATTCAGTTCAGTATGGAGTCCAAAAAGTACCAGGCCAGCTAGGGGAGGGAGGGGCACTGCAAACCTAGGACAGGGCAGAGTTGGACCTATCCCTTTCAGCAGCAAATTGTTAGGCTGATGTACACGTAACATATAGTTTCACCCCAACAGTCCTGCTCTCAAGCTGGAAAATTTGAAGTTAGTGCCTTTCACAGCTAAGGGCACTCAGTCAGCAGTCCAACTCAATTTCGGTACAAACAAAACTGATAGACTGATGGATTTGAGTGAGGATTTAAACTGTCTCCTGGAAGGGTATTTTAGCCAAAGGGGTACTAACCCGCAGGAGAAAGGTAATGGCAACTTCTTAAAGGACACCAGCTAGACCTGCAAAACCTGTTAAGCTAACACAAGATAAGCCCTGACTGTGTCTAAGCTATATGCAGAGAATGGTGACTATAATACTCCACTGTGGCCTTGGAGCATGGTGAGCAAGCTCATGCTCAATTCTGCTGCAAGTGTAAGCTCTGTATATGCTTCACTCTGGCAGAGAAATACACTTGGCAAGCCTTAGCTCTTCCGTACCTCCTCCTTTCACCAGAGCTAAGACATCTGACACAACAGGTTGCACGGTAGTCTCCATTAACTTTTATTTCTTGAATGGCTTTTCAGAGCACAGGTTCTCCACTAGCTATTGCTGCCATTTTAATGCCCTTCAGTATTGCAATATTTCTGGAAAGCAGCCTCAGGTAAGTGGAAAATCTGAGGATATGGTGGGACACTCCAGGGGCAGGTAGATCTTGATGAAGTTGAGTCTGGTGCTCATTCAAAAAACGCTGGTCAAAGGATTTGCCTAATTTACACTATTGACTCCTAGTGTAACTGAATTTACGTAGAAAGTAGGAACAATAATGGACTGTTAGTGCTGTCAAAGAAAAATTACCTTGAGCTTCATTTCAATTACCGAGTTAAATAGTTCATTCTAGTGCAAATGAGAGCAGAACTTGGTCTGCAATGCACTGTTCCTATCAAATGCTGTTTCTCTTTATACTTGTTTAATTTAAAACCCAATCACATTCCAGGTGTGAAAGGAATGACCTTTACAGTGAACACTGCCAAAAATCAACGGTAACTGTAAGATTTCTCTGCCTTTTTGTCACCTTGTGATAGCATTGATCTTTTACTGTTTGTAGTAGCAACCTCAGCAGAGGTGCTGCTGAAACGCAGGCTGGCTGCACTCTGCCCCAGCTTCCGCAGTGAGGTTCCACCCTTCTGCTGGGAAGGCTGCAGCCACCACTGCACTGGTCAAGCTTGAAGGCCACACCTAAACATATGGCGCACTGCTGCTGCATGCCCTTGCATACAGTGCTAGGACATCTACAGGAGGAAGCCATTGCCTTTTGCAATACAATAACATGAGCAGCCTTCACAGTGAACTCTGTGAAAAATGTCTTCCTTTACTTTCCCCAGACACTCAAAGGCAGACGCCAGAGACCTGCCAACCCATGAGTTAACATTCTCACTACCACATTTTACACGAGGCTGGTGAACGCCTTCCCTCTCCCCTCGCCCCCCGTCCAAAATCCACTCCTCAGCTTTAGCCTAGCGATATCAGCAAGCTCGTTTTGAAATTTCCACAAAACTCATGTAAGAGGCTTATGCACTGATGGGAGATGGATCCCAAACATCAAAGTTTCCAGCAAACTCTTCCATGAGGACGGACCCTACCTGAGATACCCTGTAAGAACCTACAGTGGCACTAAAGGGTGTCCCATTAGAAGGGGAACAGGTAAACTTCTTGCCAAAGCCTTTCTAGCACAGAATTCAAAAGGCTAGAAAAAGCCACATTAGTTTAAAACTTCAGAAAGAATGATGGCAAAATCAGTTAGGAATTAATTATTAAAAGTGATTGACAAAGCCTTGATATTTACCAGCAGTAAAATTATGCCACAGCCCGTCAGCCAGAAATGCTCAGGAATAAAACCAGAGAAGAGGAGACAGAAAGAAACCAGCACTGATGACCAGCTATAAAAGCTGTTTCACATCATCCCTGGCATCCTGGCAATACTACTGCCCTAATCACAGCTAGTTTACACTGGCTATCAGATATGCAAGTTTCCTGCACCTTGGTTAAACCTACATTATAAATAAGAGAAAAGGGAGATGGTAATTCACATTCATTGCCACTCACATTCATTGCCACCATCAGTTCCCGATAAGTATGATACACTGTCGCAAAAAAACCTAACAGCATACCAAAGCAAGAAGGAACAAAGACAGCGTAGTATAAATTTGTATTTCCTACCTCCGCTCGACCTTCATAGTACGTTAGCATGGACTTTGTAAGCACAAAAAGCCTCTCTTTGTAGTTTAAAGGAGAGGTCCTCTTCTTCTGCTGTGATCTTTTAATCAAAATCTCTTGTAGGATAGTAGTCATATTCATTTCAGCCTCTTGGCACCTCTGTTTCCAGCCATTGAATATCAGTTCCTGTGAAGACGAGAGAAATCATTGTTGCATTTTGGAGGATCAGAGATCTACAGATTTCTGTAGCAGAGAGAGCTTCTGCTTGTAAATGAAGCTACCTGAAAATACAGAAAGCTGGAGCTCATCCTAAGCACTTGGAAGTTTACAAAAGTTAATTATTAGACAAGAAAGTTTAGGCATTGCTCAACTGAGGGCTGCACTGACACATTCCCAGGAAGCCTGAAGCTGTACCTGACCCATATGAAAGAAAAGACGTTGCAGCCTACGTCACAGGCAACATGGCCGAGCACTTTGCGACATACTACATGCAAAGAGCAGCGAACAACTATCCTTCACCACAAAGGCAAACAGTTTCCCACTACATCACCTATTGTAACACATTTTGTAAAACAAAAATTATTCTAAAACTTAACTCTGTCAAGTTCTAGAAATTCTAGGTGAAACTCTGTCCCTTGCCGTGTACTGACGGTTCAATGCCGTATTTTTTATTTCATTTCCAGATTCCACATGCCAGCCTGCAAAGGCAGGCAGCATGGCCTGCATTTGGCATGTGGAGCCCCAGATTAGGAGAGGAAAAACCCCAGTACCACATCAAACTACAGCTCTGGGGGGTAGGGAGTAAGGGAGGGGGAAAGAAAGGTGATGCTTATTATATCCTGAAACAACAAGATTTTAATTGCTAAGGTCTGCCCATACGTAAACGTTATTTGCAAAAGTTTGATATACAGACTTGAATAGGGATTGGCAGAAGCCAATTTGAAAATTCACCCCAATTATATTAATTAAAATTTTCACAAGCAAATGGTGATTTAGGAGGATATCAGTTTGAGAAGCAAGAATTAAAGAAGCCTATTTTTCCTAAAAGTGCTAAATATGTGCCCTCCACGTTCTATTTCAAAAGATTTCATATTGACCACCAAAAAGCTAAACCACTTACTTTTGACAGTTCTCATTGGGCAGTAAGGTCAGGCTGCTTTAAAGTTTCGCTCAATAATTGATATCTGTAGGACGGGCTTATGGGTGCATCAAAACAAACGCACCCACAGCTACTTTGTTTGCAAATCTGGCTCCAGTGCCTCGCAAGGCAGCAAATGGCACCCAATTTTTCTGCAATGCTGCCAACTTAAGCACAGCTGACCTTCTCCCTCATCTGCTCATTCCTGCCACTCTGCACCACCCTGTATTGTGTTGGTACAAATGCTTCTCCAGCTGTGCAGCAAAGAGGGCTAGGGAATGGATCCAACCAAAAATAACATTTCAGCAGGCAGTGCAGACAGCCGTCTGTGCAGCGTAATGCACGAGGTGACACAGGGGCAGCGACAAGGTGCAGCAGAGGCTGCAGAGAAGCCCTTTCTGAAAACTGGTGTTTGCTACCTCTCGCTCTCCTGGTTTTGTGTCAGACCTGGCAGTGGGAGGG